TGGTCTTGAACCTTGAAGTCAGGTTAATTCAGCCACACCCACTGTGAAAAAGTCCCTGGGCCTTTGCTAGAGCTGTCAGCAAAGAAGTGTGTTCCCTTGTCCCTGAGGTTACTAAACTGGTGGGAAGACCTAGTTTTCCCTATATGATGGGGGATGTCCTTCTGTATATATGTTTCTCTTATTTGTTGATGAATAAAACACTGTTTGGCCAATAGCCAGTAGAGGCAGGAAGAAAAGCAGGGCTAGGAGACTAGGAGAAGGCTGGGAGACAGGCACTGTAAAGGGATGCCATGTACCAGAGGAAGGAGTAACAGGTCCATATCCTTCTCTGTTAAGCCAAGACCACTTATTATACATAGATTTATAGAAATGGGTTAATAATTAAGACAGAGCTAGCCAATAAGAAGCCCTAGCCATTGGCCAACAGTTTCATAATTAATATAACCTCTGTGTGCTTATTTGGGGCTGAGAAGTGGCTGTGGGACCTGGTGGGACAAGAAACTCCAGCAACACCTATGCACAGAGAATGCAAGACAAAGCCTGCAGAAGGATGGAGGGAGAATGCACATTATTGGCATCTCTGAATGCAACCATGGCTAAGGCTAGCCCTAACCCTGGAATTTGTTTCTTGAGAAAATCCCCTTCAGTTTAAACAAGTTTGAGTTAGCTGCAGGTCATTTGCAACACAAAGTCCTGGCAGAGGTCTAGGTTAGCAGGGGTGCACATGATCTTTGAGTAGGGTAGGGAAGAGAGTTCTTCACAGCCCAGGGAAGAAAAAGGAGGAAATGATGTGTCACCTCCTGGGAGGTATGGCAGGCACAGTACTAATCCTGATCTCTCACCTCCCTTTTAGCGGATTAGACTTTCCAGAAACTTGAATATAAGGCTCCCTAAACCCTCAGTAATGAAGACAGCAGCTGGTTCTCTAATCCCTACATTCTTTCCTGTGCTACTCAAATCCTAACAGGAAAGATTCAAGCATTCTCTATCCCTGTGTTCTTACCAGACCCATAAGGAGGTCTTCTGTATAAAACTAGCCACTATCAAGGAAAATAACAAATCACTATGGATCTCATAACTTCCAAAGACTCATTAGCATGCTGCTGCTGATTAATCTTCAAATTTAATTAATAGAAATGACACTTTCTTTTAATTTGCATCATTAGTCAAATGAGCATCCTAATTAGGATTTACAGTATACAGATTTATAAACTCCAGCAGATGAACATAAACATGAGGAGGGGCTGCCAGTCCTGACAAGCATTCACTCATTTCTCTCCCACTGGCTTTCAGAATCTAGGGACAGAGGGGATCAATTTCATTTCCAGGCAGTGTCTGTGCAAAATACTTTGTTAGATATATTCAAGCTATTCAAAGCCATACATGACTGAGATTCCAAATCTCATTTCTACAACTGAAGGCTTGTATCATTTAAAATAAAGCTACAAGATGGACGATCACTGGCAATGGTGGGTATTCCTTGTAACATTTAAAATAAAGGGTTTAGATTGGGTCATATATAAAAGTGGCCTCAACTTCTAGAATACCTCTATGCAGAAACCTCATTATGAACTCAGTACATCAAAGGAATCTATGGCACTAAACTTATTAGTAAACACTACCTAGCAAGCCAGGGAATAACATGTGGCTCACAAGAGCTCACTACAAAATTACTCCACTCTCTCCATGATAGGAGGGAAATTCTAACTAGGAAGGAAAGTGTTGCAACTTTCCAGGTTCTGTACCAAGGTACCAATTCTATTCAAAGCACATAGATGGAATTGACTGGTGGGCTGTCTGCATGCACTTAACAGTAACCTATCTAGAGAGGGAGAAAGGGAAGGAGGAAGGGAAGAGGGGGGGGAAGTGGAGAGAACACACAGGAAGTAACCCCATACGGAAATGATTGTGTTAAATTTATTTATATTTACTTCTCTGTACTTACCAGTCTGTCATGATTATTGTGCGCTAATGATGGCATGGTGCCCACATACTAGGATGTTTATGAATTAGTTTCTTAGGGTTGGGGAGTGGCCATGTTGGAGCAGCTGCAGTCAGCAATGCAGATTATGGAGTGCAACTCACTGATAGCATTGCTATAGCAAGTGCACCCCCAGAGAGGCAAAGTCCCAGGTGGGTGTCTCCAGAATGCCCTTTGCTTCTGCTGTGCCTTTTCCTGCTTGCTGCTATTGTGCTCCTACTGTATTTGTCATGGTATGATTATTATGTGAAGGAATCCCACTTTGTCTAGCATAATGTGATTGTTTCATGGGAAAACTCCACTCTTCACTGTGCAAGTTACATGCAGATCATAATGAAGATGATTTTTATAGAGGAACAATGCTTAGAGATGTGAGATTTGCCAAGGATGGAAAATGACAACTGTAATGAAAAGAAAGGCAAAGTGGATGCCTTTAGGTGGGCCCTGCCAAGGTATGCCTGTACATGAATACTTCATGTGCAATGAAGTCAGTGCAAGAGGTTTATTAGGGATGAAGAGAGTGAAAGAACGAAAGTCAGTCTTGGAGTGGGGACATGAGAGAGTTAGACAGACAGGCAGAGAACAGGGAAGAGGCAAGAGGCAAGAACGACACGATAAGCAAGAGAGGAAAGAAGAGGCAAGAGCGAGCTGTGCCTGATAGGCACTTTTAAGAGGTACACTTGTCACATGGTTGAGGGTGGAAAGGACCTGGTGACAGGTGAGGTTGTAACTGCTTCAGCATCTGAGGCAGGCTGCTGCCTTGGTGGAAACTAACAAAAATAAGAGGACATTTCATGCATTATGGACCCATGAATTCTACCAGTGGAAAAACAGGCTGATGATCAAAGAAAGCAATTATATCCCTACCCGCTAGGTTAGGCCTGTGTTCCTTGGTCATGTATCTTACAGAATCAACCACAGGTTATGGTGTGTACCTTTAAAAAACATAGTTATGGAAGGAAATTAAATGACTCTCTTGTGTGTAATGAGGAAAGAAAAATAGATGGCTAGCTAGACTAAGGTCTTTAGAGTAGAAATAAATAGGAATCCGCTATACTGAAACAGCAAGCAGCTGCGTACCAGTACAAAGGCACTGGCTGAAATATACTTGGCTTGCTTAAAACTTTGTTAAGAATCGTTGCTTTGGGTGAAGATGTTATGGTAGGAAAAATAATACAAAGGAAAATGTTTAAATACACATGAGCTTCTGAAAATAAGTGATCATAATGTGATTTCTTCCCGTGTAAAGATTTTAATTTGTTTTGCAAAATATGTAACTTGTGGTTGGGAGGTGATTTTCTGCTTGCATAGCAACTTTTGTCTTAGGTGGTATAAAAGGCTTAAGAGAAAAATAAATACAGAGAGAATTAAGCTTTGCCCCTCAGGTAAGGCTCCTGTGTGTTTAATAGTTGCCAACTCTACCTCTGTTCTATTTCTCTGACCTGTTGGAGCTGGACTCCAGCAAGGATTGTCATCTGTTCTGACAATCAGTAAGCCACCATGGGCATGGAATTACAAACCCACATGACTTTTACATGGTTCATGTTGACAGTGTACTTTATAAAGTGAAGTGCTTGGCAGTAACTTAGCAATCACATTGTAACACATACATATTAGGAAAATATTGTCCATTGGGGGTTTGTTATGGTCATATCCTGAGTAATACACACATGATAGGCAGAATATGCTTGGTGGAAGAATGCTTATAAAAGTCACAGATAATTCTTGTGGAACTAAATGTCCAGTTTGTTGAGAAAAACTCCAGAGGTTCAATGGTAAAGTGGTTCTCAGGTAAAGTTACCTGAGATGTTCACTGAAGATACACTCTCTCCTTGACAGCCTTTCTTAGGAGGCAAGAATTCTGGGAAGTGTCTGAACCTCCAGAAGAGATACTACCAGCACCATTCCAATAGAAGGAAGGAGGAAAGTGTTGCAGGGAGCTAGGAGGTGCTGCCATACATTGGAAATGGTCTAAGGCTCAGACTTAAAGTCTTGGTTCCAACATGTTAACAGCTGCATGGCATTGAGTAGTTTGTTCTTTCCAAGCCTCAGTCTATCAACAAAATGGAAAATGTTATTGGTAACTAATGATAAAAAGTGTTAGGTTCTAAGATAACATGCAACACATTGGCTATTAAAAAATCAGCTTGAAAACAACTTTTTCATATAATGTATGTTCATGTGTGTGTGTGTGCATATATGTGTGCACTGCATGTGGAGGCTAAAGAGTCTCTTGCAGAAAGGAACATAAGGCTTTAAGAGTTAGGTTGACTGACCAGCTGTGGTGGTGAAAATGAGAATGGCCCTCATAGGCTGATAGATTTTAATATTTGATCACCAGGAAGTAGTATGCCACTATTTGAAAGGATTCAGAGGTGTGGCCTTCATGGAAGAAGTATGTCACTGGGAGTGGGCTTTGAGGTTTCAAACAGCCCATTCCAAGCCCAGTCTCTCTCTCTCTCCCTCTCCCTCTCTCTCTCTCTCTCTCTCTCTCTCTCTCTCTCTCTCACCTTGCTACCTGCGAATCCAGATGTAGAACTCCCAGTTACATCTCTAGCACCGTGTCTGCCTGGGTGCCATCATACTTCCCACCACAATGATAATGGACTAAACCTTTGCATGCCCCTATCAAATGTTTTCTTCAATAGAGGCTGCTGTGGTCATGGTGTTCCACAGCAACAGAACACTGACTAAACCACCAGTGAACTCCAGGAATCCTCCTGTCCCTATCCCCCAACCTGGGATTACAAGCATACAACACTGAACTCAGACTTGTACGTGGAGCTAAGGGTTCTGCTCAAGTCTTCAGGCTTGTATGTCAAGCCTACTGAGTCATCTACTCAGCCCCCAACAACAGCTTTTGTTTACATCATTCCCTACAACAAAACTCCAGAGGTCCTTATCAGCTGACTGCTGAGCCCTCTACATCAGCCAAGGTGATGTGCCTTCTCTATTTTTCAGCTCAGTAGCCTGGGTGAATGCCTGTGCAGCCTTGGCTCATCCAGCAGGTTACACTTACCTCATAGTAGCTCTGGACGGCATTCATAAAGGCTTCATCAGCCACGATTTGGGTCTCCCCATTGAGGAAAGCCTGGAATCGGTCCTTGACAGTCTGCAGTTGCTGTTTGCTGATCTGTAGAGAGAGAAAGAGAACATTGAAGGCTTTATGTAAACAGGAACATGAATGTTTCATGTAAACAGGAACAAAGATAGATGCCCACCTATCAAAATGGGGACCTGCCTGATAAGTGAGCAAACTTTCTGGACCAGTATGGAACACAGTCAGCACTAAAAATAATACAAGCCATAGTTACATACATTGATTTCAAACTATGTGGGACTACTTATACCACAGAAATCAGCAAGTGCTATCAAGCAGGTATATATATTTATTCCTATATTTTTAAAAAGAGTTGGCTGTTGAAGCATTTCACAGGGAGTGATGCTTGGTTATATTCAGAAGTTGCTATTTTTTCATCCCTTCCTTTGATCTGTGCCCATGGTTATTTATAGGCATAGAGCTTGTAAGATAGAAACTGTAGAGAACTGGGTCACATCTCTTTCCAGATTCATGTTTAGGGATGCATCACTGGCTGGTGTGATCAGCCACATGGGACTATTTATACTGCATAAGTCAGCAAATACCACCAAGCAAATAAGCAGACTTGTTTACTTATTTATTTATAACTGTAAAGAAGAGCCAGCTGTCGGAACGTTGCCTAATGGACACTCCACCATGCATAGCAGCCACTTCACTGTGTGTAACGGACACTCCACCTGCAGACACTTCAGCAGTCTGAATACCTTGCAGCATGCATCCTGCAGAGGCTTTGGAAAAACTGGTGGTGTGAGTCACCCCTGAACATTATACAGTAGCACTGAGGTGCAAGGAGCAAGGTGACATATTTGGGCTGTAGGTTATGTATAATTCCCCACCCTCCCAGCTCCAGGCATCTTTATTTCCAAGGGAAACAGTCCTGTGAGAACCCTATCATATCCTCCTGTGCCTGAAAATGCCCCGTCCCTCCTTCCTTCAAACATGATCAACATGGTTATAAGAAGCACTTGAAATCCCAACTAAGATTTCCTCACACATGACTCAAAAGCGAACATTTGTCTCTACAACTCATGGTTATGGTTAAATGTGGTAGATCCATTTTGTTATCTTTTTCTTTAAGGTTTCCCTGGTGACAAGCAGTCAATTGATGTTGATTTAACTGAATGAATAAAGAGCAGGAAAGAGTCTCTCTCTGTGTAGCCTTGAAACAGCATAGTTTCTGTTGACATTATGTAAAGTTAATAAACTGCTTAAAGTTCAAGTTCCTGATTTCTAAAAACATAAACACTTAAAAAAAGTTATATTCCAACATGAAGGATGAGACACTTCTGAGGACCACTGTTCTAACAGTAAAAGAACATTCCATTAACACCATGATGCCTTGCCACCACAGCATTGTGGAAAAGCCACTTACATTCTGGTTTGACCAGAGGGCTGAAGCTTCTCTAGAATGGGGTTGGGCTTAAGTAAATGCATTTGATCTCACTACCCATTTTCTCCTTTGGAATACAGTAAGCATTCTAACTGCTCATGGCCTCATGAGGTCACAGCTCTTCAGTGACTCGAATCCCTTTTGCGTGTATTACTCAGCAAGGTGACAGGGCAACCAAAGCTAATAGTGTGTGTGTGTGTGTGTGTGTGTGTGTGTGTGTGTGTGTGTGTGTATGGCTATAGCCTTGGATAGGAAGAGCCTTATCCAGGAGACCATGAAGGTGCCAGGAACCTAGATGTTTCAGCTGTGGTAGAATGGGACATATCAAGAGAAACTATAGACCAAGGAATTTTAACAATGCCTCATACGGAAAGCCACTGCCATCTGGATTATGTAGAAGATGTGGTAAGGGCAGACACTGAAGCAATGAATGTAGATGGACCAGGGACATGCAAGGAAACCCGTTAAGGCCGGGAAACCCCAAGAGGGCCCTCAAGAAGGCTCTCACATCGAGAAAGTTCCGGTCATTCCCAATAGCAATGGAAGACAATCTCTCACAGGACGAATAGATAGTTCTTTGCCTATTGTGAAAAATGATACTGCTCTAGATGGTAGTTTGGCTAGTGATAAAGAATCAAATGTGAATGTACAAAATGAGAATTGCATATTTTGGCAAACTTCTATTAATGATAAAACACCCTCAATTGAAAGTGAAAATTAATAATAAGTTATTATTGGCTTAGTAGACACTGGGGCAGATGTGACTATTATTACCAAAAGTCTTGGCCTCAGAGATGGCCTCTTAGAGAGGCAAATGTATAATTTTTAGGAATTGGAACTCTATCGAGAGTTCGACAGAGTGTTCACTTGGTGGTCTGTATTGGACCGGAAGGACAGAAAGGGAGATTAAAAGCATACATGGAAGATATAGCTATAAATCTCTGGGGTCATGATCTCTGACAGCAATGGAATACTCAGATTAATATTCCTCCAGTGTCGGATACAAATTATGTACAATCTTTCCATAATAGAAAAGATCTGGTAAGACACTATGAAAAACAGTTACCAATCATCCAGGCTGTACAGAAACTATGTACAAATGATAGAACTTCAGAGGAGCCAAAGGCCCTGCCATTGAAGAAGCTTATAGATAAACCTATTTAGGTAGGACAACGGCCTATGATCTCTGAGAAGGCACAGGCTCTAAAAAGACTGGTTCAGGAACAGCTAGATGCTGGACATATATACAAATCTACCAGTCCTTGGAATTCTCCTGTATTTGTTATCAAAAAGAAGT